GGTTACAAAGAGAAACAAATTTTCTTCTAGATTGATTGAAGACTTTTGCATTGGGAGTTATAAAATTACAGAATTCTACGTCTGTACGCAGAACAAGGACGACCTCCAGACTTCTTATTTTCTGTCACCTGGAATTTTTTTTCTTTTGGGAGGTTGTTTACTTCTGAATTCGTTTATTATATTTGGTGCTTGAGGACAAGTACCTTATGAAGGAGGTGTATCATGATCTAGTTGATAATAAAAGAAAACAGAAAGTCTTACAAAGCTGAAGAGACTGAAAAGGGACTCACATGCACAGAGAATAGCGAACGACAAAGAAAGTTGGGTGGAACTCTTTTACTGTCTTTGTTTAGATGTCTTTCATTTTGGATTTTTTCTATTTTTCAATTATTTAATGATTAGACTAAGTAAGAAAGCCTAAAATCATATATTTTTTGAGAATAAATAAAGTCATAATTATTACTTAAGCTAAAATGTAGGTTTTAGGAAGAAGTAGCTGGCTCTTCCCTATTAATCTTGACCCAAATTTCAGTTGAAAACCATGGTGATTAAATTTTCCATTTCAGGAAGAAGCCAACTGATTCTTCCATATTTCTGTGTTCATTCAGTTATGCAATAATTGGAGAATAGTTATTTTAAAAACTTAGATTACCTTAAATATGGATACTTGTGGGTTTCTCTCTAATGTGTCTCATTTCATGATTAGATGCCAAAGGCAGGACCTTAACATAATACAATTACTAAAGATGCATTTGTAGATAAATGTGTGCACGTGCACATAAATATATGTTCGATAATTTGGTAATGATTACCAAGTTCAAACGAATGGGAAATTTTGTCATTTTTCATGAATAAGTACCTTTTATTCTATCTCTAGAATTTGAAGATGTCTTTGGAATTCATCAACTGCCACATTACCTTATACCATAAAACGAACTTCCTTTTATTGGAAAAGAGAAAAGGCAACTTCTTATAGTTCGTCATTAGAAGGTGATGACCTATGTAATTAGACATTATTCTTGTAGTTGAGACCATAGGTGTCAGTATTCCATACTATGAGACCATCCAAGGAACTACATTAATGGTGAGCTTCTGACCATTTTCACAGTGATCCCCCACTCCGCAGATATACTGAATTTCTCCCGGCTCTGATAAGACTAATGAGTCATTTCCACTATTGGACAGGCTTATGTATGCATCTTTTATACAACTTGTATATGCAGTTGAGTTGACTTGCATTACATTGTGTGAGCCTTTTTCGTAATTGAACACTGTCACAGGGCAACAATGATCAACAATGTTATACATTTAAGAGTGGGCAAACATCATTCCTAATGTAAAAACTAGGTCTTATGTATGAATCACTTGAATCAAGTCAGCTCCTTTTGCTTCGGTCGGAAAGAAAATATACCAAAAGAAAAATTGAAAGATATTGTTCTAGTCATTATTCTAAAGAAATATTACGAGTCTTTATAGCATACCCTGGAATAAGAAAGAATAGAATCTTACGGAATAGGATATTGACTATAATACAACCTACTTAAATATTTTATTAACTAAATATGAAAAGACTACATAATAATTACCCTATTATTCTATAATAGTAGCAAATCTTCCTACTCTCTCAGAATTGAAGTGCAGCAAGTAGAATATAAACATTGAAGCAATGAAAGTTCGTATTGTTTGCCCACATGTGCATTTGAATGCAGAACTTACCGAGGATGTCACCAACATGAAATAATTTACCCTCAGTCCAGTTGGTGAAATTGGTGAAGAGATTCCAGCCATCACCATCTCCGACAACAAACGATGTTGCTCTCACGTCAAGGATATTGAAGGATGTAGTGAGTAGAAGGTAAAGTACAATCATGCTGTAGTATGGATTATCGGCAAGCATATGGTTTTATGTCCCTTATTTTCGTCAGCTCCTTTTCCTCGAATTTTACCTGATGAAATGGTGATAGGTAGGGTTGTAGGGAAGGGAAGTGTTGGTTCACAGAGGCATTTTTGAAGTGGGTTTGGAGGGTCATGATATTTGGTTTTATCCTGATTAGGTAATCATGTAAATTGTACTTTGCAGTGTGCATAAAAAAGTCAGGTTATATTGTTAATATTAACATGATTCTTTTTGCATGTGATGCACCAGCACCAGTCACACCACCACTGTGGAGCTATTTTCATAAGAAATATATCTTTTCTGCATTTTTATTTACTTACTTTTATATGAAAAGCTCTCTCTCTCTAGATGTGTGTATATGTATATATGTATGTGTACAATTTTCTCTTATGTTTCCAGTTTTATATGTTCAGAGGTATATGAACATAATTTTTTTCAATCAAAGTATATGTTTGGGAAAATAAGCTATTTGGAATTTATTCTAAATGTATACCTCAAACAGGAGGATGAAAAATCAACTTAATCTTGCAATTTATTTTTACAGGAATTTTACGCGGTTTGAAATACTACATAGAATCATCTGTTTTAAGTGAATCATCTATTTTAAGTGTTTGAAACGTTTGAGTAGCATTTAATGCTCTCGGCCATCATGTAGTGTAAGTAAGGACTAAGACATCAATGTGTCTTTAATTATTATTGGTCTTTTTCTACTTTAAATAAGAAATCATTGAGAATTAAGTGCTTTTATTATCAATTTCTTTTTTCAACCAAATTTGAAATCTCTAAAGAGTTTTTTTTTTTTTTTAAATTGAATATCTACTCTCAGAGAAGTAAACCTCATAATTTTTTGA